AATATATAATTTATATGTAATCGGTCGACATTTTCCGAAAGCCCAGTGTTTTATCAGCGCTCGTAACTGGGTTGGACAAGATAATTTGAAATATGATTGTCGGCAGCTAAAAAATGTGTGCATGTTTTGTTTCCTCCCTTGTTATTAGTTTAGTGCAGGCTGATCGGCCGGTACTAGTATTAGTGATTTGGGGGATTTCAGGGCGTGGATAATTAAATTTAACGATATACGCTATCATTACATTGCCAAACTGTTTCAATTTTATTATTTCTATTATTTTAAGCAAGGATAAGATCCTGCACCGGGACATAGTCGTTCTTCTCCGTTGACGTCCATGTATTGACACGAATAGATCGTCAGGCCCTTGTGACTCACATATACACGCACGTTCTAAAATTACACCAGTGATTCTAATTTTTCAGATTTTGATCGCCATGACATGAAAAAGACGATGTTTTCTTAATTATATATATTTTTGTAACAACTTTGTATTGAAAAATATTATGTTTTAATTGTTTGATGGTAACAATAAATATGTAACAGTCGACTGGCACAATAGTTCGGCTCATGCGATCAGAGGGAATTTGTAAAACTACTTGAACATATAATCGCAATTACACAAAACTCAAAACAAAAGTTCACATGTTGCCAATGATGAAGGGGCTTATTTCGACCTATTCTTGGATCAGTGATTAGAACCGAACTAGGGACACCACGTATTTTAAAATGTGAGTTTTTGCTTTTAATTTTTGGAAATCGCGATGTTTTGTTCAAATAGTGTCACAACTTCCCACTAAGTCAATTGACTGTGTGTTAACCATTATAACGCCATATGTTGCTCTGGTTTCTCTCACATTGTTATGTGAATTTTCTGATTGTTATTTTGTTGTGAGTGACGCATTTCAAAGTTGTACGAGTATAAACTGTTATTTATCATAACTTCCGCTGAACGCTCTTTGGGCCCACTTTGCGGAATCATTACAATATTAACCTCTTTCTATGGCCACTAATCTAAAATCTATATATATTTTATGTACTTCGCTTTCTACCTGGCCTTCCACGGCCGACTAAGTAAATCAAACAGAAAACACGGCACCTAGCGAAGCTAGAATTTTAAACAGTATAAACTACTCCTATCATATTTGAAAGGCCGGGTAGGTAGTTAAAGGCCGGTAGTCGTCGCACCACGCATGCGCGAAATATATGGGTCTCATATAAACAAAGATGGCCACGTTGACCCTTGGGCAGATCAACAGCACATATAGATCGGTCAAATCAAGTAGCATGATAAATATGTTGGCTAAATCCCTTGACATCAGCGCCATTTCCCCCATCTTCGCCAGCCAAGGACCATTTATTCGGCCGAAGCCTCAACATTAACTCTTGGCAGATTTCACAATGATTTACTGTATGTCGCACGCCCTCAAACGATTATAAGATTCACTTGGGCTCATTTGATTTACCCAATCAGAACTTGCAATATAAACGACATATTACTTGGTAAAATCGTGGCGCTAGCTCGGTTGAATATAAAAATCAACGTGTTGCTAGCTTTTTCTCTGTGAACGAGCTTACTGACCATCAAAAAAACAAAAAACTGTGCTGTTTCTAAGGGAAATGATGTGTTAGTTGCAACGAAGAACGGATTGGACAAGTCGACATGTTATATGTTTCGACGGTTTTGTCAGTTTACTAAAACACGGTTTGCAGAAATATTTAAACATAACGAAAATTGGAAACGTGTCAACGAGCATAGACCTTCTTTTCTTGACTCCAAGTGAATCAGCACAGTGCCTACTCGCCGTCATTGTTTTAATCTGTGATGACCCCTGGATCTTCCAATTTATGATACAGCATTGCTGATTAATAGCGCCAGCTTCTTGGCGCGCCAAATCAAATTACTCAATTTAACTACAGTGAAATACTGCTTTTCCTAACACGATCACGCACGATTTTGTGGGTCGGTTATGAATGGCCGGCTTTAGCGAAACCGTGCGATTCGGACGATGCATTTCCCCATGCTTGTATGGTCCGACCCGGCCACGAGATATCACGGGGACTGTTGTGTACAATTTAACTCCAATGGTTACGTAATATAAATATTTACGTTTACTTATATAGTATATTTAAATTTATTCATGTATAAATTTCCAGATGACCTATTAGTCACGATCGACTAGATATCGGTTGAACTCTCCAGCCCAGTGACAAATCATTATAACTCTACCCACAATGCCTTGCAATCATTTTAGTTACAAGACATGACCATTGACTGACATAATTACCATTTTTTTTACCGGGTTTTGCATATTGGCACACGTTGATTGGCATAATTAACTTGAAACTACGTAGGAAACTTCCGCCATATTATTATTGCTCAAGTCGGCTCAATGGTTGGTTCTTTCAGGGAATATCCGCGATTCCGTTTTAAGCTAAGATACACAAACACGGCTACGGATACGCCGATAATATAAAATGGCATACGGACGCGTGTACAATCATAAACCTTAGAAAAGATCTATGGTACACGGCAACATATGTCCTCTCATATTTCAGGAGTTCGCCTACGAGGGAGCTTTTATTTACTTTTCAATAGCTGATTAACACTAGGGTCTCTTTCTGTCGAAGAAGATAAAAGTCAGCGTATTTCTACAACTGTGTTCGGATCGGAAAAAAAAGTTTTGTGGATGAGGCTCAGTATGAAATTAAGCGTAACCCGTATCTACCTTCCACACCGGTGTCCAAATTTGTTTGGATGGGTGTGTACTGGGGGTCTCAACTTAACATAGAGAAATAGAGCCACGTCTGAATGATATTGGAGATAAGAATTTAATGATGATGATGTTTTTATTTTTAACACAATCTGCGCTATCGCCCCGGAACTACACTTGTTACTAGTAACTCCCTTACAGGTGTTTTTAAAAGTTGTTTAAAGTTGTAAGTATTTTTTAAGTTGATTTATACTTGAAGCGATATTCATTGAACTATCTCACATTTCATGAACATATTATCGAACAGTACACAGTATCACAGTAGGAATAGGTCTAATAAAACATGAACGTTAAGGGGGCGTGAACCACGTTTTTTTTCGAATTCAGTTTGTGTTTGAACTCAGTTGCAACTAAATATACATGTTATTGACATATTACCATATAAGCCGTTTTAACG